ATAGTAACCACCTCGTTTTAAATGAAACCCACACTACCTCTTACAGTAGCAACTATTTGGATTTAACCAATAAGATTGTGGACAATAGAATTGTCACGGAGCTATATAATAAAACGGATGACCTCGATTTCAAAGTGATTAAGGTTTCCTTAAAGTGACACTAATATTTCCAAGAATAATAAGAGCTCAGTTATTCACACTGAGACCCTTCGAGTTGCACATACATGCACACTTTATGAAACGTTTATAAATAAAATAAAAGAAATGATTGTCATTCTAAAAAATAATGGATATGAGAATAGCTTTTATAACGACCAGTATTGTTGAAATGCATTTATAAAAATAAACACATATGTTATAAATTCGCAATTATTGATAATTACAAACGTATTTGTTCTTTAATTGAGGGAATGGTTAACAAGTTAGCTGCTTTGCTAAAAAGATGCTCCAAATCCACTAAGTATTTAAAGGTAGACTGAGTAATTATTCTGCAGTTTCCTTATAGCACTCTCCCTTGCTTGTCAATCCCTTTCATTCCTAACCATCCTACCATTAATTGCCTTTCATTCTCCACTCCATTATACATAGCAATCTTTTAGGAATTTTCTCAGTAAACTTCACCACTTATTACATATTCCTTTCAATCGTCATCCCCCACTCACTGAGAGCCTCAGGGGGATGACGTATGACAGTGATTCGTCTGAGTAAGAGGCGAAACGAATCACTTTTGTTTTTACTATCCCTTCTCCTATTTACTCTCTATCTTTTCTATTGGACAGTGCTGGTGTCCATTGGCTTTACGAGGGCAACCCGAGGTCAATTCTACATTCAGTTCCGTCTGGAACATATATATTTCTCGACTTCTTAGAGGCTATTGCCTCTTTTTTCACCGGTGGTGATGTTTTGGGCCGGTGGTCCATTACGGCGTCGATGACGCCTCACTTCTCCTTTGCGTGCTTATTTTATCATCTTTGAACTTTGTTTATAACAATCTCTAGAAAACTTTATTAGTAGAGGACAAAACATTATTAACAACTATTCTTTAAAATTTGGATCTCATCTCTCTTGAAACAATTCGCTTTCGATGATATCTTCCTTTCTTGGATGCTCAGGTTGGTTAGATTCAACCTCTTCGCATTGACGTTTACGCACGTTTGAATTCTCCTGAACACTTTGGTTTAAGATCATTGACTATATGTCCCTTTCACTCCCACCTCAGTACTTTTCGATAAAACACCTGCTTTATCCTTTTCTTTCTGAAGATAATATACTTTCTATACATAAGGATCCCCACAAGGTGCTTCCTTCTTTCTGAAATGATTGCTAATAAGAATATGGTCTTCTAAGATGTGTTTTTATATCGCATACCTCAAAATTTTTTAATTCGCTACTCGTCAGCAGTTTTTTGATAGGCATTCCATTCCAGTCGGAGTACTTCCATCCCAATAGTATGGCTAAATCTGTGGACTTATATTTCTTGATAAAGTAATTATTATAAAAGTATACATTTCGAAATCTACTTTCGTTACCTTGTATTCTCCATTCTGTTGTCTAATTGATATTATAGCACCTTTCACATTGATCTCCGGAGCTATCAACTGGTTCTCATTACAATAACTCCTTATCTTCTTGCGGAGGTACAGACTATAACTATATAATATGACACATATACTTCTTCTTAGTCAACTATGGAGTTATTACCTTAGATTCTCTAAATCTCCAACCTCTACTGTTTGACCTCTTGAAACCTTGACATTAGAACTGTTCTCACGATTATAATCGATACGGTTCCTTCTTCCCTTACGCATAAAGTGCTCCCAAAAAGCACATGTCATATCTGCTCAAAGTAACTCTCTTATCTCCTATGACATAATTTTATAAATTATGCTTCGTCTGTCGTTCCACCTTGATGCTACTTGCCTCTCCGTTTCGTTCCAAGTAACCTTATATTTTAGTGGGTATGGGTCATCCTCATTCTCATACCTTAATTAATATGTTTATCGCACAATTGCATCCAATCCAATGTTTTCCCATCTCTTACTTGACCATCTCCTTTCGAAATCTTTCGACCAACATATGTATTTGGTGGCTCCTTTTCCTTATTCGGAGCCGCAAGTTTACACGCTAAATTTTGATACAACACTCCCTTCAATTACCTCCTATGCTATAAATCCAAAGCGATTAGATCTGACTTATATTCTCATGAAGCAAATCCCGCACCTGTAATATCAAAACAGCTTCATATACTTCCTTTTTCTCCTTCACCCCTGCTTACTCTTAACAATAAAAATATCACATCTATTGATAATAAATTCGGTCACCTTTGGAACTAATTGACTTTACGTTGCTTCAAAATAATATACACTTGTAAATAAATCTAATACAAGGGTATCCCATTACATAGTCACAGGCTCCATTTCCGCCAAAAGAATCGATGAACAGTAAGCAAAATACACCACTTCGGTAACAATAGCTACTGTCAAAGTATGCACACCTGAAACACTTAATATACGGAAAAAAACAATAATATTCAGTTCAAGGTTCACACATCTTATAATCTACTTACCAGTTACTCTAAGCACATACCTACTTAGCCAACCTACAGTGGGGTAGATTAATAATTTGTGATGGAAAAAGCCCGATACGGATCCTTCTTCGCGAGTTTTTCGATTAACAAGTATAGTACTTGAGTCGTTCGTCACAGTGAACTTCACGCCTCTCTTGACAAAAAAGTTTGCTGGATGTAAGAAGTTATCTGCATTAAAACATTTCATTAATGATGTACTGAGAAATTACTATTGTTCGGCTGTAAATACTAACCTGGCTATGGTGAAATACTTCTTGTTCCTTGTGGTAGTTATATTATTATACTGTGAAAGTGTATTAGATGACACAGCCTTTTCCTTAAATTGCCTTTTTCTTAGCTCCTTACCATAAGAACATTAAACATACAAGAACATGGCTTTGATACAGCAAAACGGTGAATATATTATGCATACACTGATCTAAAGACTGTTTGTAGTGAAAA